GTGAGTTCCAGGTTCACCATCTCAAAAGAACAAGATTTACAGCATTAGCTGAAGGTACTATGTCTCAATCTCTGGACTCCACAAGTTCACACAGGGGCAAGTACACCTGCACACAGCATGCATACAGCACACACATGTATGCACAAACATGCGTAGTAATTATTACTATTACTATTATTAATATTATTATACAACCCAAAGCCTTAAACCTGAGATATAGTAATCTGTCTAAAATAAAATCTCAAGTCAACCACTGGCGGATGGTTCTGTGGTTTAAGACACTTGTTACCTAATCTAACAATCAGATTTCCATCCCTGGAACATACATCATGGGGGAAGAGAACCAAGACCCTCAGATTGTCCTCTGACCTCCATAGATGGGCCATGACATGCACATATAACATTAATAGATAAATACACAAAGGTGGTTAACCTCAAATCAAGAAAACAACTTCATGACCCATTGCTATTTGTGGGAAAAGACAGCACCACAGTGTTGCAGGAAGCAGAGATCCCACCTGCACATAGAGGAAGTTGTGCCTCTTAAAAGTGAGCTTAAATTTAGTGCTCACCATAGGCTAATGAGTTCCTACTTCATGTTCCGGAAAGATAAACCATCCAAGTCCTTTAGAGATGACAGTTTAATATACACAGTGCTCCAGAAATCAATGAGATACTTAGAAGGCTAAACAGGAACATCCTTTACTTATGGAAAACAGGATAAAATAATGTTAAAATTAATCATCTTGCATTGTTCTGAATGAGAATAGAGTGACCTATCCTATCACCATCAATGGTGATACAGACTCTTTCCCCTGTTGTTTCTAAGAGCCAGATATTCCCACACAAAACATAATTCTCAAATATCTTGTGCATGATATTTTTGGGGAAAGGGAGATTCCTTTTGAAACAGACAAAGTATTAAGCTGGCACCAATTATAAACATGTTACTGTGTCTTAATATTAAAGCAGAAATTCCTGGCTCACTGATGCAAAACTTACTTTTCTTGGGACAGGGAGAAAAAGACAAGTGGCATGTAAGAAAAAAGAAAGAGGGGAAACTTTCATTAAGTATCTGGCAACATTTCCCAAGTGTGGTAACTGAATAACTTTAATGGCCCACACTTTTTATCTGCTCCTTTAAACTTCAGGCAGGGGCAGAGCCTAGTAGTATATTGTCAGGAGATGGGGTATGGTTGGAGGGAAAAGGTAAAGTGAGGAAAAGAGGAAAGGGTGTGAGGGGAAAAAGTGGAGAGCTGTTTGAATGATTCTTTATTCAAAGTACACTGTGCCATGAAGAGTTCAGCTCAAACAGGAAGAAAAATGGTATCTCCAAATTTCTCAAGCTTTGTCCCTGTGACAGTAAAAACCTCACCATCAGATGCCTCACTGTTCTTCTATCAAGGAAACGTATTCCTCAATTAAAGTCACATAAAACTTGAAGAAATTATTCAATGGGTGGAATTTACCCAAGTTCTCTAATTTTTATGGTCTTAAGATTCAATATAAAGAATCAAGACATCCTCTAATCCATGGCTTTCCAGATATACTCATCTAAACAAGCCATGCCTTCCTGAAGAGAATGCAGGAGGTCTGGCAAACAGACGAGATTTGGAAGTTGCTTTGTGGGAGGTATCCTGATGGAATTGCATATCCCTACCTGCCTAGCCAATACTGCATTGGAATTTTGATAACTGATTATTTTGAAAATGTTAAAAAATAAACAAAATCACTAAGCTTAACTTTCTTCCTTTCTTTCTTTTTTTCCTCAAGACAGGGTTTCTCTGTGTAGCCTTGGCTGTCCTGGAAGTTACTCTGCAGACCAGGCTGACCTTGCAATCACAGAGATCTGCCTGCCTCTGCCTCCCAGTGCTGGGATTAAAGGTGTGCACCACCACTGCCCAGCTCCGAGATTAACTTTTTTTATATTTGTATATGCAAATTTATGTTGGACTTAGTTGTTGATAGACACAAGGCTGTTTCACAATAAAGAGCCAGAGTTTCTGATAAGTTACTAATGTAATTTCAAACTTTGTCTTAACCATGGGCTTACTAATATTCAGTGAGGCCTCCATTTTTCTCATTCATGTGGCATTATTCAATAGTATCAAAATCAGAGACTCTCATATCCAGGGAAGGTGGGGAAGGGTGACTTGGGTCCTCAGGGGACATTTGGCAATGTTTGGAAACATTTGGGGTTGTCATGTCTCGGCAACTTTATCTACAGCCAGTGGGTCAGAAGCCAGGGATATTGCTAAACATTATACAGTTCACAGGACAAGCCCTCATAGCACAGGATGATCTGGCAGAATAGGCCAATAACGTGGAGATTGAGCAAGCCTCCTTTACCCCAAGTGCTTTAATTATCATGAAATTCTTCTCTCCATGAATAACCAACATTTAATGCTGTATGTGAGCAATTCAGGGCACTGGAAGATGTGTGTGTGTGATTTGAGAAGAAAACTGATGAGGAAAACTGATTATTCATATGCATTTTTCACAAACACATTAAAATAAGCCAGAAAAGAACTTCTGTCTTAGACAGTGTGATAAAAAATGAAGAAACAAAATTCTAACTCACAAATACTAATCTATGATCAAGTTGCGCTCTCCTGTTATTTTAATATGCCATTTAAAATGTCATCTTATTAGAATCCATGGCATGTGATTGCCAGAAAATGAAAGCACCAGTATGGATTTAATATGAAATTTTATGCCCCTTTCCTTACAGCGAATAGGTTTCTGAGGCTCATTGGAGGGTAATCTGGAAGATATGATTGCGAACTCGGCAATTTAACTCTGATGCATCTCCTTTGCTTTCTTCTTCCTTGGAAAATCAAGGTTAGCACAAATAGGACCATTTTTGCTATGGGAATCATGCTGGTTTAATTCCCCTGAGGGAATGGTAACTGCCACAGTCTAAGAATATTATAGTAGGGTATGCAATAATCATTTTTAGAGCAATGCTTTTAAAACCTTGAACTAAAATAGTGAAATGGGCAAGAATGTCATTAAAATAAGAGTGCCATCCAGTTCCAACAAGTGGTAGAGGGATATATTCAATAAGTCAACATATGAGCCTTCTTTTAAATTCTATATGGCACACACTGTGTTTAGTTTCAGCTTCAGAACCTCTTTTTTTAAAAAAGTAAATACCTATAATTTTACAAATGAATCTGTAACTGAAGCTGTCTGATAAAAGGCAAATTGGTCTCACTTTTTAATAGCCTCCCATCTCTACTGCCTGAAAAATTCATCAGCTATTTGCAATGGTTCTGTCACTTGCCCTAATAACTGTACTAGGCTGTAAAGGTACTCCAAAGACTTGGAAGGGATGAAGGCCCAACGTCAGATGTTCAGCCACCACCCAGACTGCATCCATGTGGGTTTCTTCTTTTCATAAACAATCTTACATTTCTGAGGAAATGTAAGCCTTACAAAAGATTAATTGGATGTAAACTACCTCTTCCATATCCTGATACTCAACATGATGGCTTCCCCTGCCTTCTGGAGGCAGCATCTAGACCAGTGGTTCTCAACCTTCCTAAAGCTGCCACCCTTTAACACAGTTTCTCGTGTTGTGGTGAGCCCACAACCATGAAATTGCTTTTGCTGCTAGGTCATAACTGTAATTTGCTACTGTAATGAATCATAATGTAAATATCTGTGCTTTCCAATGGTCTTAGGAGACAACTGACTGGTTAAGAGCCACCGATCTAGACCTTATCTGATTCTCAGAAAGTCAACCTGTTCGAATGAATACAGGAGAGTGAAGTACCGAAAAATCATTAAGTGTAAGGCCTATGCCATCCCTTTGAATACAAAAGAACTTAAACAAAGCCAGGAAGGATAAGTATAAATGCAGGGATAGCCAGAGGTTTGAGTAAAAGGACTACGTGAGGAGAGGAGGAACCGCCAAGTCCTGGAATTCAACCCTGTGACTCTCTGCACTGCTGCCAAGCTTCTACCCACACATAGCAAACGACACACATTTTATTTTAGCTTCAAAATGTCCCCCATTCAGCTCCAGTTTTTTATTGCTCTTGTTTGTTCGTTTTGTTTTTGAACCTTTTTATTATTCCCAGTATAGAGTTCTCTTTTCCAAAGAACTCCTCAAATCCAGTTCCTATAGCGAATCTGGTTCTAAACCCTACTGTACCTGATGGCAATGCTTACTCTTTGGTACTGTCTTTTGGGCCCTGGGCAAGCTGCAAGCATCATTCTAAATCTATATTCACTAAATTCCTGTTTCCCAAAAGCAACCAGTAAACTTTATACCGACTCGTCCCTTCTGAAATTCTTGAGAGAATCATCAGCTGGCTACCACGACATAGTTTTATGCTTCTGTTTACGCTGCTCCAAAGAGGGTATTGCAGATCTGACTGCCTGTTAGTGATTCCAGAAATCTTTGAACCAAATCCCGACTCAAGGGAAATCAAGACTTAGTTGTAGTTTGGAGGGAAAAGAGCAGACCTCTCCTTTAGGCATGACGCTGCAAACTCCTAGAACAAAAGTCTCACATTCCCAACCGTGGGAAAACTGAAGGGCTGGTGTGAATCTGTCACCTGTCCATCAGTAGGCTTGGCTCCCGCCTCACTACGCAGCAGCAATGCAGATTGGATGCCTATTTCGAGTTAGGGACCAAGTAAAAGTTTTGCATGAATTAACATCTTATTCTCTCAAGATAACTCTGAGGAGCAGGTGCCAAAGACATTGAACGAACCAGGAGATGAATGCAGATTTTCCTATCCCTCACCCCCAAGTGCCTCGAGACCACCCTCAAGTTTACACATCTCCCTGGCCAATCTCCTGCCTTTAAGCACCTAGGTCTGAACTGCTAGCCAAGTGTCCCGGGAGGCCCTTTTTGCCCAGCTCCACAGAGCTGGGAGGTGACTCATGGAGCTGTCACTCTGCTCTCCTTCGGGCTCTGGCAAGGAACTGGAGAGGTGCCCTCCCACCCCGCAGGCCCGGCGGGGCGGGGCGGGGCTCGGCCAGGCAGCCAAGGCCGGGAGCGGGAACCGGCAGCGGGAAGCGGCCACCGCCCGGGCAGCACGACCTAGGCCAGGCGAGGCGAGCGGGGCGGGGCGGGGCGCCACGGGAAGGGTTGGCCGCGCAGCCCCGGGACCGACCGACCCGAGCCACTCTCGCAGTGCCAGCCACGATGGGGCTGGAGACAGAAAAGAGCGACGTACAGCTGTTCATGGCCGACGACACCTACAGCCACCACAGTGGTGTCGATTACGCAGATCCGGAGAAGTATGTGGACTCAAGTCATGACCGGGATCCTCATCGGCTCAACTCGCATCTGAAGGTGAGTTCCAGGCCGGCTGTCATTTAGGCTGCTGTGGGTCCTTGGCTCTCTGCAGGAGGATGCCCCTTTAACTCCTCCCTAACAGTGGCCACTGGTCCTATTGGCACCCTGTCGGCCCGGACACACAACTCTCAGGCTCCCTGCACAACCAGGAATGTTTGTCACAATTCCTGTGTACCCACCGCCACCCTAAGAAAAGCTGGGGATACTCTAGCTGCAAACTTCCCTGCTTATACTGCCTCTGCTCTCGCCCGTGCCTCCTCCCCCGCCCCCAGACAGGTTGGGTGACAGCATGGGTCCCTGTGTCTTGTCTCTGCAGCTAGGCTTCGAGGATCTGATTGCAGAACCGGAGACTACACACTCCTTTGACAAAGTGTGGATCTGCAGCCATGCCCTCTTTGAAATCAGCAAATACGTGATCTACAAGTTCCTGACGGTGTTTCTGGCCATCCCCTTGGCCTTTGTTACAGGAATCCTGTTTGCTACCCTCAGCTGTCTGCACATCTGGTGAGAGGGGACACAAGGGGCGGATCTGCCTTCTGAAGCATACAGATAGTTTTGCCACCTGCCCCCAGGCCCATTAGCTCTAGAGAATGCTTGCATTCGCTCCCAAGCAGTAGCAAGACTCCAGAAAGCTTGAAGGGCAGCAGCGTGCTTTCTTTAGAATAATAGTCCTTTAGAATAATGGCTGAGAGTTTAAACAGAAGGAAGCGAGGGCCTCTTTCCTGGGTGTGATTTTTCCTCCCATGCAGAAGGCTGAGCTGAGTGCGGAGGTGGGGGCTTCCTGCCACCGGCTGCTCTCTCAAGGCCCTGTTGTGACTTGTGCCTGTGGTTCTGGGCAGGTCTTTCTTTCGTTGCCTTTTATTCAGTCACCAAGTGCTTGGGTAAAACAAGAAACAAGTGTGATCTCAGAGCAGAACACCACTGTCGGTCTGACCAAACAAGATTGGCAAGCTTTGGTAAACAGCTACGGCCAGGGCCACTCAAGTTTTACTATTGATGAACGGTTATAATGAAACCAGGGGAGATGGGAGGTGCTTACAATAATGGTGTTGCACACCTAACGTGGATGAATGAAAACTCAAGGAAATGCAACAGTGAAATAAGGCCATTACGTGATCACTTTGGTATCACAAATGAGTATGACATCTAGTTACAAGAAAAAGAAATATGGAAACCCAACGAACATTGGTGGGATGTTTGTGAGTAATATTATCCACATTCAAAATGCATAATAAATTTTATAGAGCATTTTTAAGCACTGAAACTCTTCTTAAGGGAAACAGCGTGTTCCTTCAAGACATGCTTTTATGCTAAAAGTTAATCACTTTATTCATAGAATCATCCACAGTGTCACAATAGTTCTCAGGTTGGCTCCTCAAGGTGGTCCTGTAACATATGTAACCACAGATGCCACCATACAGTTCTTCATGTTATATGGCATTGCCACACCGCTATATATTCTGTGTTCACTATTAAGAGCTATCAAATCCATTACTTCCTTCAGTCTCTAACTAAATTTAGCTACTGTTAGCTAGCTAGTTCTGCACACTCAGTCTATTAGGTGCTCAGTCTTGCTGGGCAAGTACACAAAATTTTCTTCAGCCTCCACATTGCCTGGGAAGAGGATTCAGATATAGATTTGCATGGTGAGAAAGCATCATTGAATTCTAATGGAGAAATTGGAAAACGGGGGTTACTTTGTGAGGGAACGAAATCTGAAAGAAAAGTCTTGTAAAAGATAAACATAAATTGAGAGGGCCAAAGGATAAACAAAGAACACCAATTTAATCACTTGAGGTTGTAAGCAGTCATGTTGAAAGTGCCAAAAGATTGCCAGAAAGAGAAACCCTCTGCCTTTATGCATGTGCAGATCCACAAGCCAGATGTACAGTTGTCTCATGTCTGACATTCCCACGCACATGATATTTCACTTGTCTAAATCAACACATGCAATTGGATGTTCCTCATTAACTAAACCGCCAATGGGACCTCTAAGTCAATTCTTCTTCCACTTTCAAAATTGTGAAAAGAAAAAACAAAGGCTCCATCACGTATTATGATATGCTGGCTTTGATGCCCTTTGGGAGTGTGGAGTGCAGATTTATTGACCATGCTAGTCTCCTGTGGAAGAATTGGGAGAAAGGGAATTTTTCATTTGCCAAATGGTGGAAAGATGTTAACAGTACTACAATGGCCCAAATGATGCTTCTCTCCACCTGGCTCTCCCAAGAGTGGGAGGAATCTTGGGTTTGGCTTCCACTGGTGAATCATCAGCTCCCCTTCCCTTTCAGCCACATGATACGTATTATTTAACTTCAGCTTGTTTTTCAAACTGCATTCATGTGGGACATTAATATTTAACTACCACATAGTTGTCGTCAGGTAGCTATGAATCTATGCTTAACTGTTACTTTGTGCATTGATGAGACAGCTTGCTTTATCATTAATGGATTACATCCCCCTGACAGACAAGCCGGATCAATGGGATGCTTTATTGAAGAGTAGACTTGTGTGAGCAAGTTTGGGGTTTGCTTTCTTTCTTTCCTTGTTTCTTTCTTTTTTCAGTTGTTTATTTTATATTTTATATTTTTTAAACAAGGGATTGCTCATTGTTTAGCCAAAGTTGAGAATATTTTAAAGAAGCTTTTAACCAAGTCACAATATCACCAGGCATCTGGTTTTAGATTTGTGTTTTGATTGTGGTTATTATTTAGGGGGCATTTGGTTGGTGGTTTATTAATTGTCTTGTTTGGTTGTGAGCACACAACTCGCCATGTTTCCCAGGTTGGTTTTGAACTCCTGGACACAAGGAATTCTCATGCCTTAGCCTCTCTAGTATCTGGAACTACAACTATATACCACCACAGTTGGATTCTTTGCCCAAATAAATAACAAAAAGTAAAATATAAACGTCTAGTTATATTGGACCTTCAGCCAAATGTTCAGGTCTTTAGGATTTGTGAGATGATTATGTTTGGTACTTTGGCAAATAAGCTCACTGTAAATAAGTGCATCATAACCAAAGAAATATGACTGGGGCATCTATACTCTTATTTTCCTGGAATACGATGCAAATAGACCTCCAGTTGCTGTAAATCCAGTGCTCAGAGATTCATTCTAGTTGTTTTCAGTACAGCACATTGCTGTGACAACACAGCCTTTAAGACACTGTTATATAAAGACAAATAACAATCCTTAACCTCAGGCTGCTTATCCAAAGGCAACATACAGAATCTGTAGGTTAAAGAGTTTGCATGAGTAGCGTTTAGTTGACTATGCTCAGCCATTTGTCATTTATAATCAGTCTAAACTGGGTGCAGTTTTAGAAGAGAAATGATTCACAATGTTGAGAATGTAACTCAAATTCTATATCCAAGGGTTATTGAGCTCCCTGACACAGAGAGGGAACAATTTAAAGAAAATAAAATGTGTTCATAATACCCAATGAGCTGAAATCTTTAAACATAGGCAGCCGGACTTTGTTGAATGAAAAATATTTAAATGCCTTTTAGAGCCCAGAGATACAAGGACTGTGAAGATAGAAAAGGATTAGCCTAAGGAAGAGTGGAGAGCACAATTCATTCAAAGTGAAGTGGATTTGATCAACAAACACTAGGTTAATTTTTCATTATCTATTCTAATTTCAATATGGGTCTGTCAATTTTTATTTGTTATATGACAGTACCATGTGGACATCTCAGAGACTTGCAATAAAAGTTAGCCCAGATAACTGGCTCTGTAATATCTCCGGTCTCTTTAGTTTGTGGTAGTGTGCAGAAGTGACATTGAGTGAGAGGCATGTGGGACAGGAAATGACTCGACTTTCAGTCAGCTGTTTAGTTCAAAAGCACCCCTAAGTTTCATATACAATTGTTTCAAATATTTAGTAGTTGCAACAAAACCATAAATATAGTTTATGTAGATGGTCAGTATGAATAATTCAGCGTTCTAAAAATATATCCAACAAACACACTGATCCTTTGGCTTGAATGCAATAGGTATTTAGTGAAGTCACATTTTAAGAACAAACCAAGAAAATCAACCTCATGCTCCACCCTCCACCTGGGGAATAGTAAAGGCTCCACTAAGACTTCCCCAGAGCCCAAAACTCACAATACTTTTATGCTCACAGGCAGTACTGTTCACAGGAAGTTCTCCTGGGCAATATAAGAATAGTAAGCTATCTTGAGAAAAAGTACACAAAAGTGTGGGAATGCACCTTTTTGAACTACACCACACAGCCCTTACTAGCAAGTGCAATTCCTATAAAAATAATACTATGAAGCAGTTAAAGACTTAAATGATGATGACAGTGTGAAGCTGGCAGAATATTAAATGCGTTTCCATTCAAATCTGAATGGAAGATGAAGCTCAGGATATATTCCAGAAGGAAAGACAGAGATTTAAGTACCATGCCTTTTGATACATTTGAAAATGAAGAGGTTTGTTTCAGTACATTAGAAGCACAGCCAGGAGGCTCCCACCCAGCCTGGCTAAGAGGAGAGGTAAGGAGAGGCCACAGGAAAGGCAGGCAGGAAGTAGATTCTCAGAGAAACAGGAAGTGCTACCAGGTTGATGTTTAAAAGCAGAGGTCTGGCAGAGAAATCAACTGGTTTATTTATTTTTGTTTCATCGTTTCCACTAGCATTCAACCAGCAGAAAGAATATTAACATTTATCATCTGTGTGCCCGTTTATTTTTTAAACAGCTTACCCCTTGCACTTCTTATCACTCTGGCCATTGTCCTTTTATTTATTTTGAACTGTTGAACCATATTAAAGTAAGTTAAGTCATTATAATGTTTGTTCGTGTGTGTGTGTGTGTGTGTGTGTGTGTGTGTGTGTGTGTGTGTGTGTCAGTCCCCTTGGTAACACTAATTGTTAGTGATAACACTAACAATGCTTTTGTTTCCCTTTTCCCCATTCCAGGATCTTAATGCCTTTTGTGAAGACCTGCCTAATGGTCCTGCCTTCCGTGCAGACCATATGGAAAAGTGTGACAGATGTTGTCATTGGCCCATTGTGTACGAGTGTAGGACGCTGTTTCTCATCTGTGAGCATGCAGCTGAGCCACGACTGACAACTGAGAGCCCAGGCCCAGATAACTGGACACTGTACCACTTGTTGATGTAACACTGAAGTACTGCCATGCTCTTTATTTCCCAATTATTATAATCAAGAAGACTGTCAAGATGGGAGCCATGTTCATAAGTGTTCAATGACAGATCGTAACAAATAATGATTTCCCCACTAACAGCCCAGGGTTTCACATCTAATTTTATAACAAGTGTTGGCAACACTCAATGAACGAACAGATAGGTTTTGCTTTAATAGAAAACATGCATTTGTAGTGATGAGTTGATAATGGTCAAGGGGCAATTTCCTCAGATACTACAGTAATTTTGTGCATAACTTCTCATAAAAGTATGGGGTTTCTTATTTTCTTTTACTCTAGGAGTAATGCTTTTCAGATTACTTTTACAGATAGCGTCATAAGGCTAGAGAGGTAATATATACAAACATTCTAGAAACTCCATCCAGTAACAAATGAATATACTTATGATAATAACTATAAAATATAAGACAAATGTGAAACTGTGTCCCTCTTAGTTATTATTAGCCTGCAATCATATTTAACAAAATGTTTATTTCATTTTCTGTATATTTTGTACCTGATGCAAGTGTTCCTCTAATCCAAGTGCTTTGTAATGTTTTTATTACATTTATCATCTTATTGATTTGATATATAAATTAAGCATGGATTCCACAGTGTAACTTTCTATGTAAGATTAGGCTGTCACATATGAGGACTTTTGCAGCTTCTTTGGAACTGCCTAGGTTTCCTCTCCAACTTTCCCAGCAAATGTTTTACGACTGGGGTTTATCTGACTATGACTGTAAGACATGTATTTGCTTTTATTTACTGGATTATTTTTTTCTCCCATAGAGTTAGAAGCTTAATTTGTATTCTACATTCCTATGAATGATTCAATTACATTCAAGTAATTCTGGTGCTAGTTAATAATATTTTTATAACAAACTAACATCTAAGTACAATTTTTACTACAGTGGCTCACGTAGAGAAACATAGGAAAATTAACAGTTGTGAGGATTTTTAATACTAAAACACAAATTAAAAGCTAACAGTTACAAATCTTCAAGATGTTCTCTGGTATGAATTTTTTGACTGATAAAACATTATCCTATGCTTTTTCAGTTATAGAGCCCTAATTTAACATATACTCACTATGGTCTTTAAAAAATTGACATGTAAACAGTTTTTACAATATAACTACTATAATTTTTCAAATTCTAGAATTATTATCAAAACCTTAATTATCATTTGCTTAAATATCATCAAGGGTGTAAAATCTTCATTCAATGAAAATTAAGAAAAAATTTTCAGTATTTCCAATTCTGGTCAGTGTTATGCGTGGGTGACTGAATTGGAACTCTATTGCAAACCAGATCAAAAGATCATGTCAAGAAACTAAGTTGTAAAGCTCATACATTTTTGAAGGTAGACACAAAAGGAACATTTCAAACTGTCCTCAGAAGAGAGGTCATAGCCTGGTGATAGCCACAGTGTTGCCACTAACATGACTATGGAGATTGAATTGTGCTACTTTCGAAGGTCAGTCTCATGGCTTTATATTATTTTTTGTAATTTGAGATTTAAACACTTGGATATATAGTTTAGTCAAAAGAATTAATAATAAAATGTAAGCTTCAACCTTTTAAAAATGCTGACAGATTTTAAAGACAATTATGTATAATTATATGTCAAAACCTTTAATTTCTAATATATATGAATTCCTTTTTTGAATAGTAGTGATTATTTTCAAGTGAATGTTTATTGAAACTTTTCATGAATCATTTTGCATCAAAAAACTCAAATTATGGATAAAGCTAATTAAAGTTAAATATGCACATATGTTGGTCTTTTATCTGGGGCAGTTGGAATTCAGAGGCAAAAAAATAATTCCTCATTATCTAGAATAAATATCTAAAAAACAGTAAATGAGTTCATTTATTTTATTATATTTTATCTTTCTGCTGCATACTCCACACACCTGGAACTGAAGAGTGAGAACCATTTCAAATCCCGTTCAACTTATTAAGACCTCCAATAACAAGAACATGAGTTATTGTTCCAAGATGAGTCTGTTGGGAGGAGGCGATCAGTCAATGGTTAAAGAACTTGCCATGTAAGCCTAGTGACTAGAATCAGGATCCCCGGAAGCCACAGAGAAGTCAGATAGGCTTGGCAGTCCATCTTTAGCTCCATCTCTATAGACTAGCAGACCAGTCAGCTCCATTAGCTCAGAGTTCAATGGAGAAACCCTGCTTCCATGAACAAGGTGAAGATAAAAGACTTCCAACACCAAACCTTGAGCCTCTGCAAGCATGTGTATGCATGCACAACCACATAAGTGTGTGCACACATGAGAGAGCATGTACACGTACACCACAAACACACATAAGAAAAAGAATGTTTTTCTTAAAAATTATGAGACTCCTCATTTAGTGCTCTACTTTTCTAGTACTTAAAGAGATTCTGCATAAGCTTTTCTGTCACTTGATGAGTAATATGCAGTGGCTTGCTCGAAAACCAACCATTCTTCATCTTTGTAAAGCCTCATTTTACTAGTCCTAAATAAACTGCTGTCTCTATTTCTAAGTCTTAAATACAATAGTAATAACAATATAAATCACATGTTAAAATACCTTGTATCCCAAAGCCAGGTTTATCCAAAATTATTTTTGGAAAGTAAATATGTGAAGAGCAGGTGCTGATGTTGGCAGAAACCTTCTTGTGGTCAATTAATCTGATAATCAATCATATACTTGGCTTTCTAAAATGTTCTTTATAGACTGAAAGAACTTTAAAAATCCCTCTTTTTAGTAGTCATCTAAATCCCACTAACTTATTTCCGAGTCTTTCTTGGGAAGCTGTTGCCTGTAAGAAAAAGACCCCTGCCTAGGAACCAGGCATCTTGGTTCACACTCGCCACTGTGATACCTTTGGTTTACCTCCTGCAAATGGCTTAGCCTCTGTGTCTTAGATTTCTTATCTGTAGTGAAAAGACTGGATTAAATGGTCTCCCAAGAGCTCCACATCCCAATGTTTTCTATAATAGCAAGACGTGGGTCTGTCTCTTCTTACAAATCTAGCTAGTTAGTCCAGGAACTTTGATGATGATGATGATGATGATGATGATAATGATAAAGCAATGTAGTTATTGTCAATCATTCAGTTGGGAGGTATACTAAATATATACCCACAGATACACTTTTCACTCTCTCACTGATCATAGGACTCCTTTTGTAACTTTGACTTTTTATGACAGGAATTCCTACATCTTTATGAGCTCAAATATTATTATTCTATCCCTTGAATTAACATGTTGCTATGCATGCTTTAATTAATTCAGATTAATTTGAAGATTTAACAACAAAATCAATGCTTTACCAGTGTTATGGTTTGGATTTTAAAAGGTCCCCAAAAGGAACATGTCCAAAGGCTCATGTCACCTGCCTGTGGTGCTATTGTGAGCTGGTAGAACTTTTAGGAGTCTGGATCTAGACAAAACAAATCATGTTCTTGGAAGCACAGCATGGAAGAAGATTGGCATCTGAGCCCCTTCCCGTCTCTTTCCTTTTACTTCCTGGTTACCATGAAGTGATCAGTTTGCTTTACCACAGGGGCTATTCTTCAGTATAGCCTAATCACAATGGGGCCGAGCAATTGAAACATCTAAAAACAAACAAAAAATATGAGCCCCAAGTAACCCTCTCGGTCTCAAAGCTATCCCATCTGTTTACCACAGCAATAGAAACCTGATTGAGAGCACCCATGCCCATTGGCATCTCAGCCTTCAGCCTGGATGTCAGTCTGAACCTCCCAGCTGGCCTCACCCTCTGCCTGCAATCGGTTCTCCACCACTGGAATGGTGGCAGCACCAAATGCATTCGGGCAATGTTTTCTGGATGAACAACTAGGCGAATAAATAACTAAGGGGAATCTGGGGTACTCGGAGAATTAGGAGTAAGAGTCACATTTCAGCCTCCTTTTTTTATTTACAAAAGGAGGGTGAAACACACTGATTCTGGTAAAAGTTCCATACTCGAATTTTCGTGCTCATGAGCCACCAAGGAAAAACTAAACCCATGTAAGACATAAGAGCTGAATTCCCTCCTTTGGGGCAACACCGGTGGTGCAGGTTCCTCTGCTCCTTGCTGTGACAAAATCCCTGACAAATACAACTTCAGGAAGGGTTTATTTTGACTTGTGCTTTATGAAGGGAAATGTTCTGTCATAGTGGGAAAGGCATGGAAACGGAGTGTAAGGTACTAGGTCCTGTTTGTAGTCAGGAAACAAAGAGCAGGCCTGAAGGCTCAGCTAGAAACCCTAGACCCACCCCCAGAGGCCCTATGTCCTCCAGCCAAGCTCCACCCCCCTCAAGGTCTATAGCTTCCTGCAGCTCTCTCGGCAGGGGACAAAAGGTTCGAACACCTGCCATTTCTCACTCCAGCCATCCACGCCTATCTCATTCTTCATTGCCTTGCTTGAAACCTACTTTGGAATCTTTGGAAACTTGCTTGTGGGCCGTTGAGAATTGTAGTCGCTTTTGCTACCCCATTTCCCACTGAAATCAACTGAAACTTGATTTCTGTAAAATTCTACCTGTCAGAGAACGCAGCCTATACACTGCGTCATTTGAGTTCTAGGGCAAATTAAACGACAGTGAAGAGAGCATCCAAATGGCTCTATTCCTGTGGTTGCAACTTTATCAATGCAGAGTGTTTGTGTAAGATAACAAGAGCTTCGAGCGGTTCTCGAGGGTTGCACAAGGCAGGCAGGAGAAAAAGTAGGTAGAGCCACAGCGAGAACATAGCACAGATAATGCAAGTCATCACAAATCAGGGTAGAGGATATTTCCCCTAAAAAGCAGAAAGAGGAGGAGACAAGGGCTGTCAGTGCGCTAGATACTCGGCTATAGACTTAATGAATAAGAATAATTTCAGTTGAATTCACCCAGTGTCTTCTCTCTTCCCTTCTAAGTAGTAAAATGAGCAAAAGAAGGCTCCCCTCCACAGAGTTTAAAATCACCTTTTTGTACCCTCTAGCCTTTCTCTGGGTAACATCTGACACGCTACCACAGGGATCTTACCTCTGATGTTTTTAAAGTGGAAAATAGCCTTGAGTGGGGTCACATTTCAATTGATTGCAGCCTTATATTTTAGACTTCAGTATGAATGGGTAGTCTAAAGGGGATATTGAACACGGCAGAAGGGATCCCAGGAAGAGCCCCCGAGTACGGCATGGCGCACATACACAGACCAAGAAGAAAGCCAGGTTAGCGACACAAAGACAGGCGGCTGCAATGGCACTGACCCTAACCCTTCCCGGCTCTGTTTTGGAGACCTCTGCTTCACATTCCTAAGCATGGCTCAGTGGAAAACTGAATAGGAGTGGAGAGAGTTCAGTCCACAAAAGAGACTCCTTTTTCCTCCACAAAGAAGAATTGCTTTTGTCTTATTGAATGAAAATGGGCCTGGGAGGGAGCCTGGGGACTCCGCAGGAACTATGTACCCTAAAGACCATCCGGTGAGCAACTCTGAGGATGAAAACGGAAGTACAGCTGTGACCGCTTGTGTCGCTTTCGCCTTGCCCTGCCCCACTGCTGACCCCAGCTATGGTGTCTGTGATAGAGAAAGGATCCCACGGAGCAGTCAGAGAAATCAGAGGACACCGCTTCAACAATTGCCCCCAAAATAGGACAAGGACACCTATGTGCCTGTACTTGGACGTGTTATGTTACGCAGCTTGGCTGCACGGCTGGAGAAGTCATTCTGCCATTATGAGAAACGGTAGAGGTGGAGAGGGGTGAGAGAGGGGGAAGAGACAAGACTCAGTGGGTAACCGCACGTCGCCAAGGGCAGACACTTCTCTCTGATACAAATGGAACAGGAAGGGATGAGAGCAACAGGTCACCTCTAGAGCATTCTCTTCTTTCCCTGCCTCCCAGCCACTTGTCAGTGAGAGCCATCCAGTCACAAAAGGGGAGAGAAGGGCAGAAGGCAGGTCCTGCTTCAGTTGTATGCTAGCTCAGTTCCAGGTGACCGCGGTCTCAGCTAACTGGGACAGTGAAACAAGGAGTTGTTTGGGAAGTTCCAGGGCAGAACCAGGCTATTTTCAGGGAGGCGAGTGGCAAAGATTAGCATGCTTATTGTAACCCTTCACGCACATAAAGCTGAGAGTCGTGCTCCCAGTACACGCAAAGACAGGAAAGTGTACATTGGTTAAGTACTTAGGAGCTGGGAATTTCACTTGTATCTTATGAGATGAATTCTATTGTCCCCATTTTCTGCATGATGAAAATGATTCTCAGTTGAGGGACTTGCTTAAGATCACCACTGAAATTAGGATTTGAGCCAAGAAAATGACACCCAAGTCTGCAGTTTGTCCCCAAGGAGACACCTGCTTTTCCTAGGATTCTGTGCATGGCTTCTCCTGTCCTTTCTATCAGCATTCAATCGTAGAACCTTCCAGAAGCATGTGTTTTCATTATCCCATCAGAGTCAGTCCAGGACCCCAGAGGTAGTGCCCTGGCTCAGTCTCTTTCTAATACAATTCAATATCCTGCTTCTTCAGGCACAGCCTTTCGTTCCTTTTAAATCATACTTCTTATATCCTGTCCAGTGTCAGAAAAGTATTAATCAAATGTCCCTCTCAAGTTGTTCTACCATCTGTCTCAACACAGTGATTTATCTAAATACTAGGCATATTGGCACATTTTAACAATGGCATCAATTTCTATTTAGGATAATTAGTTCGCTAAGCAAAACATATTTTGTATCTTTATTTGTTTAAAAATTTCTTTTCAGTGTGTTCAACCTTTAATTGTTGTTCAACTTTGTCATTCTATTTTTGAAACTCAAATAAAAAATACACACATTTGTTTATTTTCCTATCTTTGAAGATTTTCTGATAATTTTCAAACTTGGAGTT